TGGAGTCTCCATGTTCTCCCCGTGCAGCGTGGGTTCTATCCGGGTTCTCCGGCTTCCTCCCACAGTCCAGAAACATGCTGAGGTTAATTGGTGATTCCCTTCACGTCTCTCTAAGGTCTCTAACACTCCCTAACATCTCCAACATCTCCAACATCTCCAACATCTCTCACTTCCTTGAGCTGAACCACAGGGGTGGTAGAAGGCAGGCTGGACACGTATTTTTGCATCGAGAGAGAATTACGTCCCACAACAGAGAAAGCCCTCTGTTCTTTCCAAACTATGAGCTCATATTTTAATCTTAAAAAAGCAGAGATAAGGATAAGGGATCAAAGTAACAACAGTTTAACGCAACACAGATTTGGCCTTTTTTCCAGCTGCCAGCTCTGATGATAATGACTTTGACATGCACTGACGTGTTCGGGCCGGACACCATGCACACTGGCCTGCAGCGTAACAGGTAGCATTTACTGCAGTCAGTGCATCACATGCAGTGTGTGTTCATGTGTGTGTTCTTTGTGTCTGTGTGTGTTCATGTGTGTGTTCTTTGTGTCTGTGTGTGTTCCTGCAGCTCAACTCTCTTCCAACAAAGTGGGGCCCAGTTGCAGGGAGGCAGCGTTACTGTACTTCTGGACTCTGCCGCTCCTTTTCTTGCCACCTCAGTAATCACATGCATATACTCATCCATGCACAAATCAACACACACACTGGCTTGAAGACTCAACTGGAAAAAGGCAAATACATTTACCTTTAAATAAGCGGCTCTCAGATATAATGCAACTGCTTTTACTCTCCACCAGACACCATGTGGAGGCATTTCCTTACCCAAGTGCACAAGTGTGAATGAGAGCACACAACAGACTGGGGAGTGAAAAAGCTGCAGGAGACCGAGGTTTGTTTGGATGCAAAACAACAAGTTCAGGCAAACAGTTGTAGATCCATGTGACCAGGCAACCTGACTGCCGGGTCAAGCATCTGGAGTCCACAGCACCGTCCTACACAAATAAACAGTCTCCACGGCATACAGAAAGGCCGAGAGGAAGAGCTGAAGAGAGGCAGGGAGGGGGGAGCTGCATGTGAATGGTCCGGACCTCCACTTGAAGAAAGACTGAGGTCGGTAGTTTCCTTCGTTTGTGCCGAGAGCTTACATTAACAGAGACCCCCTCTCCTTTTTCTCTCTTTGTCTTTCTTTTTTCCTCTTTCTCTTACAAACAGCAGCAAACTTCCTGAGGGTTAAACACGGACACACTTGGCAGCATTCACATAAACCCTGGCCCACGGCTCGCCAACCAGCTTTTATGTTTTCCCATAGTAGCATTAATTCTTTATCAAACAGTCAAAATACTAAATGCACTGTGGGCTTCATCACCTCCCAATTGGGCTACGATAATGTCAAAAGTCTGCTTAAGTGATTTAATTGTTTAAATTATTTCTATTGGAAACATCAAGTTCTAATCAGAAGTCCTCCAGCACAACTTCTATATTATCTGCAGATATAAACAGTGCCCTGATTAGCTACGAGGCAAGCAGATAACAAAGCTCTTTCATCCCT